TAAACCCAAGTCTGCAGAGGTTTGCTTTTCCAACTATGCCACTTTAGTTTTATGGGTTCCTAAACCTGGAAGACATTTCAAGTTTGTCCCTATGTGTTAAACACAGTAAACATGGTTATTGTACAGTCTGTATGACAGTTCTAATAACCAAACTCTTTGTTCTTGTTGTCCATTAATTTCTCTTTTATGTTACTTTCCCGCATCTATCTGATTATATGTGATTATATGCTGTAATCATATTTATAAATATTTGCAATAGTAATTATAGGTTTGGAGAACAGGTACCTCCATTCAAAAAGAAATTGAATGTGCCAGGTACTTAGGATATTATCAGTGCAGGATCAATTCAAAATCTAGATGTTTGCCTAGTAACCAGCTAGCTCAGTACTTGCCAGGGGCTTGCTTGCTTCTGGCTTACTCCTACTGTTACCCTGCTAGTTTAGTTTTCTGTGTGTTGGGTTGTAGGTCTCCTACTAGACCTCGTGTGGTTCTGGGATGTCACAGTTATTTGCACCTCAGAATATAGAAATCATTTCGTATTTCCTCATATTGGAAAATCCCCACATATAAAAGTAGCCACAATATATACTAGTCTCACCTGCTTTCATATTTGATCTGACAGTTCCTACTCTTACCATCACTCCATAGTTTTGGAAATTAACAAAATTTTATCTAGCAGTTTTTACTTGTTTTCATTGGGTGCTTTTGCTTGAATAATGTATTTTGCTATTACCTGAACACATAAATTTAATACAAACACACACACACACACACACACACACACACACACACATTTCACACACAATCTGGAGGCTTTCTCTCTCTTGTGTTCTTGTGTGAAGCTGCCACCTTTTCTACACCCTGAATCTCCCCACTGGTTCTTGTCATGGCAGTTGAGTCTGTAGAGAGTGATTTATTTGATAGATTGATAGTTTTTCACATTTTGGTGTGTCCTTTATAAGCCCTAGACAATCTTGGAAACAAAGATTATCTCTTTTTATAAATTAAGGGAAATAAATCCTTAATGTTGAGTACCCAATTTCTAGATTTGTAATTTGATAAATACTGGCACAATTATGTTTCCAAAGCCAGTAACTTGAAGATTCTTCCTAATATCATGAAATAATGAATTTCTAAAGTAAGTGTATATATTTTGAGCATGCACATACTTATGTAGTAAAGAATTTGATTTTGGCCCAAGACTAATTTGACGCTTGCTGTCAGCTTTTGCCACACTTGATAAGGATGTCTTTGTATAGGCAGGAGACTAATCACACCAAAAGATGAACCATGTGACTCAGGGTATCAGCTGGATAGACAACTACATGGTATGGCTTTCCAACCATGTGTCTCTGGGTTTTGACATTTACTTTAATCCCAGAAAACAGAAATAAGTTCAGATTTACTAAGATTTTAAAAGTCCATCAGGTAAAAGTAGCTGCAGGGTCTACGTGTATGTGCTTGTGTATATGTGGTGTGTGTGTGTGTGTGTGTGTGTGTGTATGTGTGTGTGAGAGAGAGAGAAAGAGAGAGAGAGAGAGAGAGAGAGAGAGAGAGAGAGAGAGAGAGAGAGAGAGAGAGAGAGAGACTGTGTGGAATACAAGTTCATCCACATAGCAATCAACCAGTTAGTTCAGTTGTGCCTATGTGATGAGGTACATGATAAAAAGTAGATATGGACACTAAAGCTTGAGTGTGCTTTCCTGATGGTCTTTACTCAGTTCGTCCTGTTCCCATATGAATACCAGGAAGGGAGTGTGTCCTGACTCCTAAGGGAGAGAGTAATGATGGCTTGCTTCTTCGAACGCCTCAGATTCTGCCCCCTGCATATCTTTTGAGCTGAAGTTGCTCGCCTATGTTTCTTCTGTAATAGCCATAATTATAGCACAACAACTTCCATTGTATTCTAATTATCTATCATCTATCTATCTATCTATGCATGACTGTGTAGAGTGCAATACTGGGAAGATCTTGTAATTAGAACTGACAGACTGAAGGAAGATTTTGCAGTTTTTTCTCTTTGCATCTTTACATCCAGCCTGTTCTCTGTGAGACTCTTTCTAAAGCCTTGTCATCCATTGCGTGTCTCAGTGAGGGGCACCATTTTTATCCCAGCATGCTCTGTACCCGTCCAAAGTTCTGTTGGTCCATATTGACTTGGCCTCTGGCTCTAGTTAAGGAAAGAAGGAGAACTCACAGAAATGTTTTTTTTCCTCTGCCAAGATTTGGGACCTCATAAATCATAGTTATGAGAAATGTGATGATGGTCTCTTTCCAGTCCTGTGAAGACTGGAAGAGGAGAGGCGTGCAGGTTCTGATGTGTTTTTATCATTTTTGAAAATGGTGGTATAGTGAGAATCCAGCAAGCTAGTCCCTCTGGTCTAACTAGCTAATTCTCCACTTGAATGTTCCTACAGTGAGCATGCAGAGGCATCACCAGTGTCACTTGGGCAGTTTAGTGCTTGCTGCAGAACTCCTGGCAGTTAACAATGAAATTGTCAAGATTTCCTTTTTGTTCCCCTCCAAGCAGGCAGGACCTTGTTTGTATCCCCTGGTTTAGCACATGAATCAATCCTTTTGTACGTGATCAGTGGGACTGTGTCTGTTTTCAAAAACCATCTGGCTTATATTTGGCTGGCATGCTTTCTTGTTGGGCAGTAATTCTGCAAAGAAAAAAAATATGCAGATTCTCTCATGTGTTTAATTACAAAACCCAGAAGATTATTGTTTTCTATTCGAGTATTTGGTTGTATTGTTTTGATACTTAGGAATAGATACTTAAATTAGGTTTCTAAAAAGAAATTATTAAAAATGTGATAGTTTACAGATTATAATTGACAAAGGGGGAGGATACATACATGCAAGTGAGAGAGGATAGGAAATGGAATTATCTAGCAAATATTTTTATTCCTGCAAAGCTTAATGGCCTGAGTGCTCTATTTTTCATTTTCCAACAGCATTTTATTTTAAAAGTGCTAACCCGGATTGACTTACTTCCTGCCTTAGGTCATTTATAAGATATTCTATAAGCAAAGCACTTTGCATGCCTCTATGCACAAATGTGGAGGGTTACATGCCAGTTAACCTGTAAAACATCTCTCATTTATGCAATACCCTGGTGGGAAAAAACAAACAGAAAACAAGGAGATTCACAGACCCACACATGTGGTAGGATATACATTTTTTTTTTGTACTGGGGATGGAACTCTCAACCTCACACTTGCGAGTGTGCTTACACCACTGAGCTGATTAATTCCCGGTGGGTGTTGTATTTTTAAGAGTTCTAAAAAATGCATACTGACACTAAAGAAAATTTGAAGAGTGAATCTTACTTTCCTGAATGTATATAAAGAGGAGTCATTTTAGTTGAAAACAATCCTCAGTTCAATTGAAAAAAATCTGACTTATTGTAAAACTGTTATTTTTACATACTTTCTTTAGGAGTATAACCATCTTCATAAAAAAACTTTGCCTTTTCATTTAGTTTCTGCTTGGAGAAATGGATATTACTGCTTCACATAGATTAGGCTTACTTATTCTGATTTTTTTAAAGAAAGTGATTAATGCAAAGGTTTACAGAAATTCAGAGTTTTGTTGAACTTAAAGTACTAATATGAATGGAACTCAGTTTCTGGATTGAACCAATTAGAATCACTGTAAGATTATTTAGAGGATTCTCTACACTTTGATATCCCAACAAGGAGTCTTTGGATGAACTTGGGGTAATGATAAGTGAAATAAGATAGAATATTGTTTTTGTGTGTGTGTGCATTTTCGGGGAGATAATCTTTGGTTTTTTTTTTTTTTTTTTTTTTTTTTTGTCTTGAAAGGTCTTAAGAAGCCCTCTTGAGTTTAGATAAAGAACAGAGGAAATGTATTATGGAATGAACATTGGACAGTCCTGAAATTCGTGTTGATGTTTTAGCCACACTGGATTATATCAGGGGTAGAGTCATTAGGAGATGGTTAATTTATGAGGAAAATATTCTCCTGCATATGATTAGTGACTAGTTAAGGAGAAACAAAAAAGTTCTCTCTTGTCCCTTCTGCCATATGAGGACATTTAGCAAGAAGCTATTTATCAATAAACCAAGATATGACCCCTCATTAGATGTCACATTTGTCACCACTTTGATGTGGGACTTTCTAGACTTCTGAACTAGGAGAAATAATTTCTCTTGCTTATAAGTCAATTAGTCTGTGGTACCGTGTAATAATGACCCAACCAGACTAAGATGGGATACTCTTGTATTTTTGTACTTAGTTTAGGATATAGGCACGGCCAGGGCTGTGTGCCTACCCTTTTGATTTTGGAGGTTGTGCTTTAAGAATTATAAGACATGTGTCAATTTGCACATGGGAAAACAAGTTAAGTTTGGAGACTTCTTCAAGCATGTACTGTAATCTCTTCCAATTTACCAGTAGAACTTCTAAACTGTTAGAGGAGGCACTAAAGACGCTTCATGGTGTCTTTGCTGACTGTGTTTATAGGGATAAAGAAAAAGCATGTGTGTGTGTGCTTGGAAAGCAGTGAGTTTTAAAAATTATGCATTGTCTAAATGAATTAATAAACCACATGTTAAAAATGAATGACACATAATACAAATACTGTGTAACTTAACTTCTTGAATGAAGCCACTGCTTAATATGAGCAGAAAATGGCAGAAGATGATTTTTAAAAAATAATAAAACTTTTTATATATTTCTGGTATGCAATATAATGTTTTTGTATATGTATACAATATGAAATAGCTCATCAAGATAATTAAAACATGCAGTACCTCATGTGCTATTTGTGTGTGCATGCATGCATGCATGCCTGTGAATATGTGTGTGTGTGTGTGTGTGTGTGTGTGTGTGCATGTGTATGAAAAAAGACTTGGTTTTTCACAGATTCCCTGCAAAGGAAGAATAAAAGATCCTGAGTGCTCATCACCGATTTTTGTCTGTGTTCTCATAAAACTTGCTCAGAAATGATGTTTCTTTTTAAAAAATTTCAGCTATCCATGTTGATAAAGTTAATCTTCAGCTATATTGTGCGTGGTCTCTTCTGGATAACTTTGAATGGAATGACGGATACAGCAAACGGTTTGGTCTCTTTCATGTTGATTTTGAAGATCCAGCTAAACCTCGAGTCCCTTATACTTCAGCCAAGGAGTATGCCAAGATCATCCGAAACAATGGACTGGAGAGACCTCAGTAGAGAAGGTCCCCAATAAATGTCCCCCAGAGAAGGAATTCTGCTTTGGGAAAAGAAATCTACTTCAGTGATGATCTCTCAGATGATTTCAAGTTGCCTCTCTTCTAGTTGATATGTAATCAGGAAATCTGTCTAGGAATGCATTTAAAATAGCCTCTAACTTTTTTGTATTTTAATCAAAATACAAAATGAAAATAAAAAAATCAGATTAAAAAATCTCATTTAAGTTCTTAAAATTTTTCTAGAAAAATAATGCAAATTTATGAGATAAGTCATGATTTTCAGCTGTAACAATAATGACATTGTAAAACTAATTGTTTATCAACCTACTTCCGGTCACAGAGCTCTTTTAGCACAGTGCAATCGTTGTTGTATGAGCCTTAATTTTCCATTTAATCTAATATAACAAACACAGAGAAAAGTCACATTATATAGTTATACATTATATTCAATAAGAAATTAAATTAATCTATTTAATAAAATGTATTTGTTAATATATTTGGGACATTTTTGTGTAGCTTGTATGAATGTCTTTCTTTTGGCTAATGAACTTCTGAAAAATAATAAAGTGAATTAGAATTTCAATGTCTGAAAAAATATTTGAGTCTTGATGTTCAGCAAAAAGCAGATTCTAATTTCAAATTTTTACCAAGTTGAAACTGAGGGCTTGATCTCCACTTTGGGTGTGATCTCAAATTTTGCATTTTAAAGCCTCATGGAATAAATACATGAATTAAATGACCAGAGCAAATGTAAGCAAAGGTGGAATGAAGAACCATCAGACTGGATTTGAAATGTCCAAGATTCATGTAGTGTTGATTCCATTTGTGAATTTGCTTGCGTTTCCTCAGTAGGGGTCAGTAGCTGTCTTAGGGATCCCTGCGGACTCCATTTCTCCCCTCCAGCACACCTATCATACATAAGGAGTTTGGAGCAACATTCTATACGGCAGTAGTGTTTACTAACACCTGTGTATCAAGCGTCCACCTCACTAGAGAGTATCATCATCCCATTTTTTAGATTGAGAGACTGGAACTGCTGAGACATGTTCCTTGGTTAGCTCACTTTAGTACTTGTTAACTGGGTCAGTACTCCCTGGTGTCACCTCTGTGTCCAGCACATCACAGGATGGGGAGCTGTGGAAATCTCTCCCCCCACCTTTTTTTAAACATAGGAAACATGAAAGAAATGTGTAGAATTGATGACATAGATAGAAATGGGGAGGGTAGTTTTTCTGTGCTTTCACTCTGCTTCTAGGAGGCAACTGCACAAACTTTTGGCATTTTTCTAAGGCTTTTCTGTGAGCAGATGCCATGTCATTTTTTCTTTTATAAACTGTGGTCAATTTCTGGATCGTTTTCATGTTCATTATCAGAGAATTATTTACAGCAAAACGCACACTCTCAGTAACTTTGGACAGAGTGAGAAAGAAATGGTCATAGTTGTTCAATAAATGTGGATGCACTGGGGAAAATTATATTAAGATTAAAATGGTATACACAGGAAATTCTATTACATCTTTGCCATTGGTTTGTTATTTTTATTGTTCAATGAGACATTATCTCACAATTTGTGTTCATTTAAGAAGCACATTTCCAAATCTTATTTCATTCCTCTCCTATCCAGCCTGTCTTTTTCATTTTTACCTTGTATCTAATTTACAATTATGTGCCACCTTATATTATCTTGCAAGACAACTGAGTTTTCCTTTTAATTAGAATGTTGCTTTGAGTATTACTTATCCTACAGGGCGTCTTTACAAGTTTTACAGCAATACGAATGAGCACTGTATTTTTGTTACCTAAATCAGAGAATTAATATTCACATTGTTTTATTTACTATCTGTCACATTTGGTCTACCAGGTGAAATAAATATTCTCACTGCCAGTGCCAGATTCCTTCACAGTACAGGAGCCTCCTGCAGCTCTCTGAGGGGTTTTAAAGGCCAGCTCTTTGTCCTAGAGATGGGTCATGCAGAGGGTATTTCCCTAATTAGTCCTGCATTGTCACCAGGTTAAAATGAAGGAAAACAAAACAAAAACAAAGCAAAGTAAAGCGAAAACACCTCACTGACCAAAAACCTAACAGTCCTTTCAGAAAGTATTTCAATTAATGTTATTTTTAATTGCTTATATTAGCATTTGAGAACAAGATTGATTGACTTTTGCCTGTCAAGGAAACAGAATTTGAATTCTTTAAATGGAAAAACAGGAGCTGTTAATTATACTTAAAGGTCTTGAAGGTCACATCTAACTATACTTAGACGTCTTGAAGGTCACCTGAGGCTTGCAAAGCACATGCCTTATGTCTGTTTTATCTAAGGGGAAACTTGGATATTGGATATCACCATGATGGATTATTAGACCTACTTGAATTTTCTCTTTCTTGCTTTTTTTTTAACACATGTTGTTTGCACCTTGCTATTCTTCTAACAAAATAGTTTGTGTTACTTAAAGTATAGTTTTTATTTTAGAGCAAGTCATTTCTGAATGCTAAAAACATACATAATATGATATTAGGGCCATTTTCATTTTTGATGTGTAGGGCTTCAGTTTCTAACTCTTGTGAATACCATGAAGGATTGTCTACCTAAACCCTTTACTGAATGAAAAGGTACAGGTTCTCATTAAGAAACCCATAAACTAAGAACCTGGCAACCTCGGTATTTGGCAATGCAGGGTCAGTCAAGTTTTTGTGTTCTGGGAATTTGTATTTTGACCTGTATCTTTTAATTATATTTACAGACTAGGGAATAATAAATACATGTGTAATATATAGTGAAAAAAATTCCCCAACACTAACCAAAAAGTAGACTTATATGATAATCCTCAAATACCAATTCCATTACTTAGTGCTGGATAGAAAGAAAAAGAGTCCTGAGCCTTTTTACTGAAAGAAAATGTAAGTCAAAACTGAAGGAATTAATACTGTTTAGTTACTAGCAATACAGCTCGCCCGGAGAACACGTATTCATCACTGATCACAATCTTTTAAGGCTCTGCTTGGAAGGGACCAGGAAAGGGCCCAGAGCATGGTCATCTCTGAAGAATGAAATTAGAGGAGATTTTGATACAGAGACACTTCATGGTGGCCTTTAGAAATACGAGCAAAGGCAGTGTGAAGAGAGAACCTTTACAGGCTGCAGCAGGAGGAGAGACGGAGAGCAGGTGATTGAAATGCAGGGTCAGGGTTTGAAAGAGCAATCCCCCTTTGCGGAGAAGGGAGTTGTTTCTTGAAGAATGTTTTCCGGCTTTTGCAGTCTCCACAGATGTTACCTGACCGATGACTGGCTCCTGTGATCTTGCCTCCACGGCTCCTAGTGCCAGGTAACAGGTAAATACAGTGTCATCACTGAGTGTGTGGGCTCTGGGGTCAACCTCCCTGGATTTACACCCAGGCTATGATGTCTGCTAGCGAAGTGACATAAAGCAATTTACTTATGTTCCCCGTGCCTCAATTTCCCCAACTGTAAAGCTGTTGTGAGAATTAGGTTGATACATGTAATACGTTTGGAGCGGTTTCCAGGACATGGTCACTGCACAGTTAATTAAGGCCATTATTTTTTTATCTTTTTTTTTTTTTTTTTTTTTTTTTTTTTTTTTTTTTTTTTGTCTTTTTTCCTTTTTATCGGTACCGGGGATCGAACTCACGACTGCCTGCTTGCAAGGCAGGTGCTTATGCCACTGAGCTAAATCCCCAGCCCCAAGGCCATTATTTTTAACTCTTAAAAGGCTTTTGCATGGAGCCTCTAGCAATTCATCAATTGTATTTTAGGCTTCCTACCCTGGGACTATGTTTGGTTTTCATTGCCATCTTTCTGTTCTGATAGTTGGGATTCATTGTCTCTCTCTCCATTTTCAGTGGTGGTGATTATCCCTAGGATCTGAATGATCTTATCATTCCAGATGAATGAAAAAAGAGCCTTTAATTTTCATTTTGTTTGGGCTTTTGTTCACTGCTGAGATGGGAGAGATGAGCTCCAAATTTTTAAGAGAGGGCTTGGAAACTCGAGGATGCCATGTTCGTCACTGTTATGGTTGATGGTATCCAGCAGCTGAATCCATTAAACTACTCTGTTTAGGAGATACAATGATGTGGACAAGACAGCTCTCCAAAGAAATTCCTGAACTGGTTAAGAGATCTGAAAAATAACAAACCAAGACAGTGAATTTTCCAGAGTAAGAGCTGTATATGTGGTTTCTACTAGCTGGGGTAGGCACGCAGTGTTTCATGGGGGAGTATAATATATATATATAAATGTAAGTAATAATATAATAAAATAATAGAAGTAAAATGTGGAAATTGAAAGCTTAAAGCCAGTGGGAAGTGGGGGAATAGTGTCCAGGCCATTTTACCTCAGGAAGGAGAGTTAGGAGATAGGCTTGAATGGCGCAGGGGTGGGGTGGGGTGGGTTCTGGTGCTCTGTGGAGAAATTAGAGTTTTCCCTTAAGGCACAGTTGAAAGTTTCTAGCAGGATGGTGATGATGGAAAAGTAATGATTTGAAAGATAACAAAATAGCTGGGATATAGGGTCAGATAGGGAATTTCTTATACAGCAGAATATAGGTGACATGTTAAGGGGCTTTTTGGAGTAGGAGTGCATTTATGAAAAACTAAAGCATAATAATAAAGTACCAAAATGCACAGAAACACAATGGAACATGTGTTTTGGATCAGACCCTGGAACAGAAGAAAGGACATTAGTGGACAAACTGGGGAAATGAAATACACAGTACAGTTTGACAGAACCTGTTAGCCTCTTAGTTTTGATAAAAATACCTGAGATGATGGCATTATGAGGAGCTGGATACTGAACATATGAAATTCTCTGTACAGTCTTTCCAACACTTGTATAATTTTAAAATTATTCCCCAAATTACGTGGAAACAGCTTCATGTTATGTCCAGAGATACAATGAATACACATGTAATATAATCTACATCTGAAAGATAAAGCGTGGGAAAAAACCTGCTATTCATGTTACAGTATTACCTTTTTTCTTGTTGTGATTTTTTTCTGTATAATTTTTTTCCAGTATAATTTGTTTTTTCTGTATAATTTGTTTCTATTTTCCACACATAATTGTTATTTCCTTTTATTGTTAGAAACATCCCTGAAAGACAAACTTCCGCAGTTAATAACTCGTGGGAGGAAGGGGCTGGGAAACCATCCGGCTCGGGGAAGGGGCTGCGGGTTTGCACAGCGGGA